TTGCTTGGATCTGCGGTTCGCCTTCCGGCGGCTCCTCCGGCGCCGCCCCAGCGCCGGTCCAAGAAATCTACGCGGAGCTCCGAGAAATCATGTTTATGCCGTGCTTTGTCCCTCGAAGGAGCCAGCAGAGGCTCCAGCATGCCCCGAGGAGGCGCGCAGAGACTCCCAATAGATGCCCGAAGAGGCCCTCGGACGGCCCACGAGAGCATCAGGGCGGACCGCCGAATCGGTCCCGCACCCAGAGGCCGTGTCGGGGGGGGTCGCCCGCAGGCTTCGTTTGGCACCAGAGTAGGGGGCCACATGCGAACCCTACCCCTGCCCCCCCACGAGTTCTTAGGGGGAGGGTGGGGTTCACTTCGTTCGGGAACTCCTGAGCGAAGTGAACCCCACCCTCCCCCTCAGAAATCGTGGGGGGGTAGGGGTAGGGTTCGCATGTGGCCCCCTACAGAGTGCTGGGTCGGTGCATCGCCCGCCGAATCCGTCCCGCACCAGCTCAGAGGAGCCCCCAGAGGTCGGGCAGCCTGCCCGCAGGCGGGCAGGACAGCTCGGCGCGCAGAGGCGGCGTCCCCGGCCCGGCTCGCAGCCAGGGCCGGCCCCGTCGGGAGGGAGGGTGAGGACGGGGGAGGCGGAGGACGGGTGAGGGGCGGCCCCGTCGGGAGGACGGGTGAGGGGCGAGAGGGGAAGATGAGGGGGTAGGGCGCAAGGATACGGAGCGGGGAGGAGGGGGTGGAGGAGGGGAGGGGGAGGACGACGGAGTAAGCCCAAGATGCATCAGCGATGTTGCAGTGCATCCTCTCCGTCCCCGGCCCCCTCGTCACAAGTCCGTGTAAGCCTTCCTCTTCACTACAAGAAGCGCCCCCGTGAAATGCCAGGATCCCGTGAACCTGCCATCCTTGTTGAAAAGGAATTGCCTTGTATCCTTTCAGCGAGTAAACAATAGTGCGAAGGGGTATGGTCATTCAGTTCAACGTGATGCTGAACGATATTCCCGTTTTGATAAAAACGCCCCCATTTAGGTAGCCGCTGCGCAAGTGTACACGTCTGGTCGTGAACTTCGAGGAAGAAGTGAGAGCCCCATTTTGAAAAGGAGCCACCATCAGCCCATACAGCCGGTTCATATGTTCAAGCCTCGGGTTTTTGCATAGAAGTCTAACGCGAAGGCCAAATGTTGAAACGGAGTATTTCTCCATCCTTGTAACGAATGTGCGCGGCGCTGAAGCGGCAGCCCCCTCTCGAAAAGGAGCTCTTGCAGACTCTTGAGAAGAGTGCACGCAGCATTAAGGCGCCCATTTTGACAACGAATCGTCCTTCATCCTTGGAGCTGCTAAAACTTTCAGGACGACTCTGCGCGATCCCAATGCGAGAGCCCCCTTTTGAGAAGGAACCGCCCTCCACACTTGGGAGTTGCTGCAGACGCTTGAGACAAGTGTGCGCGGCGCGAAGACGAGAACCCCTCCTATTTTTCAGAAGCTGTTGTAACTGTTACAACGACTGCGCGTGACACAAAGGCAAGACGCCATTTTGAAATTTCCCCCCATCATCTGTGAAGCTGCTGCAGGCTTGCGAGGCGAGTGCGCAGCGCTACGGCGAGAGCCCCATGTTGAAAACGACACGCCCCTCCATCCTTGTAATTGTTGCACACATCGAAGCCTCCCCAAACTTCAGGTTAATAAGTGTTGAAGACGTCTCAGGCGACATGCCCGGCCCGCCCGACCGACCTGCCTGGGGGCCCGACAGAGAGGAGTTATCTATGAGGAAAGAGGTGGAGGAGACGGAAGAGGAGGAGGAGAAGGAGGAGGAGGAGGAGGTTCATCACGTGGTCGGACGTGGTGGAGGGTTGGGAGAGGGCGGGAGGGAGGGAGGACAAGGGTGAAGATGATGATGGTGATGATCATGATCATGATCATGATCATGATCATGATGATGATGATGATGATGATGATGATGATGATGCTGATGATGATGATGATGATGATGATGATGATGATGATGATATGATGATGATGATGATGATGATGATGATGATGATGATGATGATGATGATGATGATGATGATGATGATAATGATGATGATGGCCATGACTGGGAATTGGGGCTGTGGGCTCCTGACTTAGTAATTTTCTCAGTATTCAATGCAAGGAACTCGAAGGGACCTGAGGATACTCCAACTCGTGCCTCACGGTACGGCGGCGGATATCATAGGTATATGTCTTATGTTGATGACGCTTCCCTATACCGATCCTCCTTTGTACCCGGCAGTTGCCGCGCGCCTTAGTATTGCAATGACTCGCGTGATAAATTGACGCATGCGTTGTTGTACCTCCTGTGTGCGTTCGCTCCCGTTCTTTCCAATCGCTAGTTTCATCGTCGCTATGATCTGGGCTACAGTGATCCTGGATCCTGCGCTTCACCGCAGGCAGTCCGCACTGAGGGTCGGGGCGGAGGCCCCCTTGCCCCCCGTTTTCGTGCTCGGCTGGCTCTGCGATGCGCGTGCCCCGAGAACGGACCCTCTGCCCACAGTTGTTTTTGGTTTGTGCCTCTCCCCCGGAACGCCTGGGGGCGGAGGGCAGGGTAACGAGCTGGAGGAGGAGGATGAGGAGGAGGAGGAGGAGGAGGAGGAGGAGGAGGAGGACGTCGAGGAGGAGGAGATGGTCGAGGAGGAGGAGGAGGATGAGGAGAGGAGGAGCTGGCCGAGGAGGAGGTGGAGGCGGAGGAGGCGGAGGTTTCGTTCCTCGCTCGCTCCACTGGGGCGCCTCTCCTGCCGCTCCTCCCCCCGCCCTGCCGCTCCCGCCCTCCTCTCGCCCCGCTTCCCTTCCAGGCACCCTCTGGCTGCGCCAGGCCTTCCCCGTCTCACGCCATTGCCAGCGCCGCCGCCGCCCTCGTCCTCGTCCTCGTCCTCGTCGTCGTCGCCGTCGTCGTCTTCGTCGTGGTCTTCGTCAGCAGGGTACCCTCTCCCCGTCATGCTCCTCCCCGCACCTTTCCTTTCCTCCCACATCCCTTCCCGTCCTCCTCTCCCCTCTTATCCCACAGACTCCACTCTCTGCCCTCCCCTCCCTTCCTGTCCCCTCTCCCCCCATCCCGATGCGACGAGCGAGGGGAGGGCGGACGAGGCGAGGAACGATGATGATTCTGGTGCTGCCGCTGCGCTCAACAATGAGGACGGGGATGACGGAAATGACGGTGATGACGAGGATGGTATACAATAGCGTTGATCTTGTCGATGATGAGCACGATGAATAAGTTGATGTTGGTGACGACTGTGATGTTGCGGTTGATGGTTATGAACAGGATGATCCTGATTTGGCCCACGATCACGGTCATGATCATGCTTATGATGATGCTGATGTTGGTGCAGGGATGCGTTATGGTGTGATAGTGGCGATGATGCTGACGAGTATGGGGATTGTTATTGTGAATTTGAGTATGGCGATCATGGTGACGATTGCAACGACGATGTGGATGATGCTTCTGATGTTGATGATGACGACTATGGCGACCATGGTGGTGATGATGGTAGTGTTGTTGATGATGGGGAGGATGGTCATGACGACGCTGGCGATGGCGATGATGTTGACGACGATGATGAGGGGTGACGATGACGACGACGACGACGACACAGATGATGACCATAGTGGTGACGCGGACGATGACGTATGGTGCTGAGGATTTTGGGGCTATGCTAGCTGTTATGGTGACGAATAATGCGACGATGCTGATGATGCTGATGATGATTTTGATGGTGATGATGGTGATGAAGAAAATGCTGATGGTTGTGATGATGATACCTTTACTGATGATGCTACTTGTGATGATGATGAGCTGCTGATGATGCTGCTGTTCGATTGGGGTGGGACGGGGGGCGGGGGATTAAGAGAACGGTGACGATGCTGCCGATCATGAAGATGATGAGGTCATTGTGCTGATGGTGCTGCGGCTGCTGATGATGAGGATGATGCCGATTTTGATGATGATGCTGATGATGATGCTGACGATGATGATGCTGATGATGATGATGGATGCTGCGGCCGATGATGCTGATGATGATGACGATGCCGATGCCGATACTGATGATGGTGATGATGATAATGCTGATGATGATGCTGATGACGATGCGGTTGTTGCTACTGTCGCTGCTGATGACGTCGCTGAAGATGATGGCATATGATGACGATGATGTCGGTGATGTTTTGGATGATGATGCTGATGCTTATGCTGATGATGATGGCGATGATGATGATGCTGATGCTGATGATGATGCTGATGATGATAATGATGATGATGATGATGATGATGATGATGATGATGATGATGATGATGGATGATGATGATGATGATGATGATGATGATGATGATGATGATGATGATGATGATGATGATGATGATGATGATGGCGACGATGACGATGACGATGCTGATGATGTTGATGATGATGCTGATGCTGATGGTGATAATGATGCTGATGATGCTGATGATGATGCTACAGGGTAATGCTGTGCCGTGAGAATGTTGCTAGTGCTGACGACGGCGACGATGGCGACGACGACGATGATGACGATGATGCTGATGATGCTTCTGATTGTGATGGTGATGCTGTTGATTAGGATGTTGCTGATGATACTGATGATCATGATGCTGAATCTGACGACGATGATGATGATGATGATGATGCTGATGATGATGATAATGCTAATGATGAGGATCATGATGATGACTATGTTGGCCTTTACACGGGTACTAAGGATGATGATCATGATGATGCTCTTGATGATGACTGTGATGCTGACGATGCTGATGATGATGACGACGCTGATGATGGTGATGCTGGTGCTGCTGCTGATGATGATGATTTTGGTGGTGGTGGTGCTGCTTCTGCTAATGATGATGATGATGAGACGATGATGGTGATGATGATGATGATGATGATGATGATGATGATGACGATGCTGTTTATGCTCAGGCTGTTGCTGATGTTGCGGCTGCTGCTGCAGAGGATGCTAATGATGACGGTGACGATGACGATGATGATGATACTGATGATGACAATGACAATGATAATGATGATGATGATGATGATGATGATGATGATGATGATGATGATGATGATGATGATGATGATGATGATGATGATGATGATGATCCTGATGCTGATGATGATGACATGATGATGAGGATGATGCGGATGATGCCGACGAGATTCGCGAGGGGCACTATGATGAGAAGGTGGATCGAGGATAATGATGAGGACGATGACGATGATGATGATACTGACGATGACAATGATAATGATAATGATAATGATGATGATGATGATGATGATGATGATGATGATGATGATGATGATGATGATGATGATGATGATGATGATGCTGCTGATGCTGATGCTGATGCTGATGCTGATGCTGCTGCTGCTGCTGATGCTGATGATGCTGACGATGATGATGATGATGATGCTGATGCTGATGCTGATGATGATGATGATGCTGATGATGGTGATGATAATGATGATGATATTGAGGATGATGAGGACGATGAGGAGGAGGAGAAGGAGGAGAAGGAGGAGCGATGCGGAGTAGGTGGCGGACGACAAGTAGGATGATGATGATGAGGAGGAGGTGGACGACGACGACGAGGACCAGCGTAGACCCACGTTGTGGCAACGATGCTGGAATACACCATCCCATTCCAAGTTCTCTCCCAATGGGTCACTGCACGTATTCTTTTTTATTGAGCGAGGCGCCTCCTAGAACGACGAGCGCGCCTTGTGCCCGCAATTCAGGCGGGAGGTCAGCTTTGAAAAGGAATTGCCACCCATCTCTCGAGCTATGAGGAATGCGACAAGGTGCGTCATACAGCTCAAGGGTATGTCCAGCGACGTCATCGCTTTGACAGAGAACCGCTCGCCATCCCTGCAAGTTCTGCCCAAACTTACGGTGTCTGTTTAGGAAATTAACGAAAACTCTAGTGAGAGCCCCATTCAAACAAGAACTACATGGCGGCGAGGGCCCCGTTCTGAACATCACCCGCTCACGAGTGCAACTATTGAGAGTTTCAGGTCCTAAACGGTGAAGTCTCGGGCGAAACGCCCAGCCCGCCGTAACGACATGTCTGGTGGTGCGACAACAGGAAGGCCTCATACAGTTGAAGGACAGGAGACGAGGGGGCATGGAGAATGACGTGGGGGAGAAGGAGGAGGAGAAGGAGAAGGATGAGAAGGATGAGGAAGAGGAGTAGAAGGAGGCTGACGAGGAGGAGAAGGAGGATGAGGAGGAGGAGGAGGAGGAGGAGGAGGAGGAGGGAGGCAGGGGAGCTGGAGGAGGAAGAGGAGGAGGAGGAGGAGGAGGAGGAGGAGGAGGAGAAGGAGCACGAGGAGGAGGAGGAGGAGGGGAATTAGGGAGTTGGAGGACGAGGAGGAGGGAAAGGAATGGGGAAGGGGAAGGAAAACGCGTACAAGGAGGGCAGAGGCGAACGGCATGGCGGCGCACCAACCCAGCTCAGGGGAGGGTTCCGGGTGCCAGCGATGGTGGACGCCGGCTCGATGACCCTCGAGCGGAGCCCTCGATGCCCGGCGCGCGCCAGAGGTGGGCGTGAGCAGGGGCAGTGTCCGCATCCTCGGTGCTGTTTTTTGTTGTATTTCCCAGCCCTCCTGCGTTGGGTCCTCGTTCTGAATAGAGCACAGTGGTCGCACTCTCTCCCTCCCGCCTCCCTCCTCCTCTCTCCCTCCTGCCTGCCTGCTGCCCTACCTCCCACCCCCTCCGTCCTTCCTCGCCGTCCTGCCTGGGGGCTCCCTGGGGGGCTGCGATCTGCGAAAGTGTCGCCACTTTTGAGGGCTGCTGGGGGGTCCAGCGGAGTGACGCCCCGCGCGGACCTCCTAAATTTGACTTCCCCATCCTGGGGGGCTGCGGTTTGCGAAAGGGCTGCTGGGGGGTTCACAGCGGAGCGACGCCCCACGTGGACGACGCCCCGCGCGGACCTCCTGAATAAGACTTTGCCATCCCTGGGGGCTGCGGTCTGCGAAACTGTCGCCACTTCCGAGGGCTGCTGGGGGGTTAAGCGACGCCCCACGTGGACTTGCATTAGACCTCGTCATCCCTGGGGGTTGCGATCTGCGAAACTGTTGCCACTTCCGAGGGCTGCATGGGGGGTCCAGCGGAGCTACGCCCCGCGCGGACTTGAATAGGACCTCGCCATCCCTGGGGAGTTGCGATCTGCGAGACTATCGCCACTTTCGAGGGCTGCTGGAAGGTCCAGCGGAGTGGCGCCCCACGCGGACTTGAATAAGACCTCGCCATCCTTGTGGGGCTGCGATCTGCGAAACTGTTGTCACTTTCGAGGGCTGCTGTGGGGTCCAGCGGAGCGACGCCCCGCGCGGAGTTAAATTAGACCTCGCCCCACGCGGACTTGAATACACGCGGCCCCCCAGCCGCACGTCAGCAACGATTCGACCTGGACATCGCGGCCGCAGCCGGCGCGGATGGGCAAGATAAAGGCAGAGGGAAGCAT